GATAATGAAAATATCTGAAGACTATTATGAAAACGAATGTTAAAGATAAAAATATGACATGAAAACCTGCCTATGAACACATGGTTAGAACACTGTTAGATTATGATTATGATGCAGCAGTGTTATTAAAAAAGAAGCATCTAAAAAGGAATAGCTGCCTGGGGTGAAGCTGATTATTTAATATAGTAATGATTATTAAGAAAAGAATTGGAGGAAAAGATGCAATGTTGCTCAGTGATTTTGCTTTGGAACCTTCAGAAATCTTTAACTCGATTTTTCTAAAAACAAATGGACTTTCTCGACTCTCTCGACTTCAAACAGGTGTAGAGCAGTCATTTTTTTGTCTGATTCCAACAACTCATATATCATTTAATATAAAATAACTAATTTTTGAAAATATGCTCATTGTGACTTATTTTGCCAGCACTGGTCACTTTTGTTTGTTCTCTGGTCTTTAATAATGTTCTCAAAACGATAGAACCGAAACATTGTTTCTACATTGTTCATGGAAAGTTTTTTTTCAATGTTTTAGTTGGATGTTCGTCTAATGTTTTTTTTCTTTAAATGTTGCTACTTTTTCGGAACTCTCAGAGAAAATTCAAAAGTAACGTTCCCATAAATTTTGCAAAATGGAATGTTCCCTTATCGTTCGCATAACCAAGAAAAAGCATTTCTAAAACATTTAAAATACTGGATGGATGCTTTAAATGTTCAGTGAACATTTAGGAAAAAAAGTTTTCATGGAATGTTTTAATGGAAAGGTTAGCAACATATATTTTGCAACGTATTTTTGTTGTTTTGGCAGCGGTGGCATCACCAGCTCTGATTGAAACCGCATGGCTTCCTGCAGTGATGACGGTGATGTCTGGTGTGTTTGAGCTGGTTTCTCATGTGTGTGTCTCCGCAGACGGCGCTGATCTCCCGTCTCACGTGAATCAGATGAACGGAGTTCTGCGCTTCAGTACAGTGACCCGCGCCGATGGAGGGAACTACACGTGTGTGGCGTCCAGCAGCGCGCAGGGAGAGATACGAGCGCACATCCATCTTACTGTAGGAGGTGTGTGTTTGTGTTCTGATCTGAACTGAACGCTGTGAGTGAGGATGAGTTCTTGTTCCACACACTCAGACTCATTCACTGTGTGTTTTGTCAGTTCACGTGGAGTTTAAGCTGGAGCCGGAGCAGACCACAGTCTATCAGGGTCACACGGCCGTGCTTCACTGTCAGGCGTCAGGTGACCCGCAGCCGTACGTCCAGTGGATGCTCAAAGACAAACTACTCGGCAGCAGCAGCTCCAGCAGGTCTGTCTCTCTGCATCCGTCTGTCTCTTTGAATGTGTCTCACTGCACCTGTCTCACTGCACCTGTCTGTCTCACCACATCTGTCTCACTGCATCTGTTTCTCACTGCACCTGTCTCACTGAACCTGTCTGTCTCACCGCACCTGTCTCACTGAACCTGTCTGTCTCACTGCACCTGTCTGTCTCACTGCAGCTGCCTGTCTCACTGCACCTGTCTGTCTCACTGCAGCTGCCTGTCTCACTGCACCTGTCTGTCTCACTCCACCTGCCCGTCTGTGTCTCTGTCTGTCTCACTCCACCTGCCTGTCTGTGTCTCTGTCTGTGTCTC